TTTTTAAGTGGGAGAACTTGCACAATTGGTGGCTGACTAAATACTTTTTTGCCCCACTGTATTTATCCACATGATGAGCCTCTTACGATACCCTTAATGTGCTGTAGACAATCTAGAATTGTTCAACTCTTACTTGTTCCCCTTTTTGACAGTGTATCAATGGAAGTGTTTGGGGAGAGGCAGAGTTGAGTTCCTGAGCTGTCTCTTGATACATTATTTTTTCAATCAGGAGTCTGGTAGCACCTTTTCCGACTAACACATTTTATTAAAAGGCGTAAGCTTTCATGATAACAAAATGTGTTAGTCGGAAAAGGTGCTACCAGACTTTGATTTTTTGCCAACATAGACTAACGCAGCTCTCAGCATCTCTTCTTTTCCAAGTAACCCATCTCAGCAAACACTCTCTTCTCTCTCCCACTTTATTTTTTGCAGTGGAGGAGTAATGATCTATTTTGACAGAATTGAGGTTGTGAACTTCCTGATCCAAAGTGCTGGTGAGTTTTCACTGCTAATCTCTTTTTCCTTGGAACTGGTGGGGTCGGGGAGATTTGGAACTGGATTTGGGATCAGATTTATTGTGGAAGATGCCTGCGCTGACTGTACTGGAAGGAGGATAAACCACAGAATCTGGACATTCTATACCAAGGAAATAAAGTTAGATTTTTTTTTTTCCACCCAATTCCCAGGGTTCCAACCAGGGCTCTCTGTTGCCTGGACAGAAAGAATGACAGTTTTTTGTTCTCAAACGGTGGTTCCAGTGATGACAAATGAGATGCCATTTCCTGCCTGCACAATTTCTTAACGCCCCCTTTTTTCCCTTTCCCTAGTATATGATATAGTGAAGAACTATACTGCAGACTATGACAAAGCTCTCATCTTCAACAAGATCCACCATGAGCTCAACCAGTTTTGCAGTGTTCACACACTTCAGGAAGTTTATATTGAATTGTTTGGTGAGTGCCTTCAGTGTGATACGTGTTACAACACTTGAATTAAAATATTATCTTAGAAGACTACTGGGGTTGTAATGTCTCTAGAATGGGAGGCATTTAAAGGTTAGGCTTATGAATTTCATTAAGCTGTCCTCCTTTCTCTTTCCCATAATTTGAGGACACTTATGGGTTTGTATGTTTGTTAAATCATTGAGTCCACAGCAATAGATTTTGTTTTCCTAATATTAATTGCACCATTGAAAAATCTGAAGGACCAGATTAAGGACAGATCATCATGGAGAAAATCTATCTATGTGGTCACTAAGAGTTGAGATCGATTTGATGGCACAAAATCTATCAATCAAAAAATTATTAATGGAGCTTTTGCTGGCCTCGGTAAAAATAATTAAATGGTGTAATGTGAGATACATCATTTCCTTTGAAGACAGGATTTGAGTGTAATACTATATTACGTATTCTTTGTTAATCCACCCTCAAGAAAGCAAATCAGTCAGGTGAAAATTACAACAGAAATTTTGTACTTTAACAGTTTCATAATCAAGAATTTTGGCAGGTCCAGTTGATGAGGCCATAGTGAAAATTTTCACCATTTTAACTTGACAACTATTTAGCAGTAAAGGAATATTGGAAAATGTCATATTACAAACATTGATTATATGAATATTTGGTCGAAGATTATAATTTCCTTACTTACCAGCGGCCCTGATACTCCTTAAAATATTGCTGAATTATAATTCCCGGTATTCTTCACCATTCACCTTTCTGGCTAATACCGCTGGAAGTTCAGCCAAATCTGAAAGTCCACAAATTTTGTATCTGTGACCTTTGGCAGAAAAGGGGCTTGGAATTGAAAGTGAGGCCTCCTGCACCCAAAGCAACTGCTATCTCAATAACCTATAGTTCCTTCCAAGGAATAAATATCTCGTCATCCATTTCCCCTGCCTCTTTCTCTCCTGTTTTAAACACAATCGCAGCAGTATCGTTAGAACCTGCTTATAATTCCCGGTCTTGTCTTTGGGGTAATGGCCAAGCACATGTAACTGCTTCCTACTCTTCCTTCTTTTTGGTTGTGCGGGCAAGTGTATCAGCAAAGAACCGACGTGGCTGATGTGCTTGTTCACAATTTCTTGTTTTGTGCTCTAACTCTTTGCTTTATCTCTTCCTAGACCAGATTGATGAAAACCTAAAACTGGCTCTCCAACAAGATCTGACATCTATGGCTCCAGGGCTCATCATACAGGTAACGCTGTATGCTGACACGCACCCCAAGGACCAAATTTTGATGCAAAGCTGGATAGATCAGCAGTTCTCAGACCTTTTGGCCTCAGGACCTCTTTACATTCTTAATAATGATTGAGGACCCCAAAGAGCTTTGGTTTATGTGGGTTATGTCTATTGGTTTTAGAAATTAAAATGGAGAAATTTTAAAACATTTACTTATTTGACTTCACAGACCCCCTGAAAGGGTCTCGGAGACCCCCAGGGTCCCCAGACCACACTTTGAGAACCACTGGGATAGAGGACTGGGCAACTGCAAACTTGGCTTGATGATGTCCCATCTGCTTAGACATTCCAGCATTCTTGCCAACACTGTGGCAAAATCTTGGTTCTAGCTTGATTCTGGATTGTAATCTTTTCTCCTGACTGAAGCGTCTCAAGTTCTTGCCCAGGCACCTTCCACTTTTATTTCTATACATCTGAGTAGATTGTTACATTATAAAAATTTTGGTGCTAACCTAAACAATGGGGTTATTTAAACTTATTATGACCCCTGACGAACTGAGAGCCAGTCTCTCCTGTGCTGCTCGGGGCTGAATCAATCTTATCAGTTGCCAATTCACAGATCCAAAATGCCATCACTCTTTGCTTTTGAACAGTCAAGCTGTGTGGTTCTTTGACAACCCTGAGAAGCTAAATATTGTGGTCATTTTGAGTGTCTTCTTTCCACATAATCCTCACTTTCTGTTCAATCAGGCAGTCCGAGTTACAAAGCCAAACATCCCAGAAGCAATTCGGAGAAATTATGAGCTCATGTAAGTATCTGGAATTCTCTTCTTTATTTACACTGCACACGCTCTTAGAATCACAAAGTGATCAGAGACTATGGGAGTTACAGTCAAATGGCATGTGGAAAGACACACACTTCTTATGTATCTTCAGTTCAAGCATTCAGTTTGGGCTTATAATTTGTTTTAATTTTATTTATATTTATATTTATGTATATATCTATGTAATCCATCCTAAATTATTAGGATATTATGATAATTTTCTCGGCTGCTGTATATATTTATTTTTCTATCGTTTTTCATTGTTTTTATTGTTTTAGAATTGTTCGCCGCCCAGAGTCACTTGGTTGAGATGGGCGGCTATAGAAATTAAATAAATAAACAAACAAATAAATAAATGCATCCTGTTTTGGTCCCCTCCAGGGAGAGTGAGAAGACGAAACTGTTGATTGCTGCTCAGAAGCAGAAGGTTGTGGAGAAAGAGGCTGAAACAGAGCGCAAAAAGGCTCTTATTGGTTTGTGTGCAGTTCTTGCTCTCATGTATGAATATTTTTGTAGAATTACACAGAACATAAGAGGCGATGCCACGTTTTGCCTGTGGGGACTGCAGTTTCCAAAAGGGTAGATGGAGATCAGAAGCAGAGGTTAAGAAGTATATGTTATAATAAGTAAGGGAGTATTATTCCCACTGGACCTAATCTGAGCTGGATATATGCTGAGAATGATTTTAGATTGCAGGCTGTGAGCTCCCGGAGAATGAAAATGTTCAGGTAGTTTGTGAGAATGACAGGGGACAAACTGTAGCTTCCTCTAGGGTAGTTCAACTTCATCAGAGATCAGTAGGGAAAGAATACATTTATCCTAATTTAAAATATAAACCACCCTTGTAAAGAGAAGGAAAAAAAATCCCTCTTCCTAAGAGGCATACAAGTCATTATTTCTAAGCAGCATTTGGGGGAAACACCCACACAGAGGCAGTGAATGAAGCCTCTCTGCTCCAGGAAATTCTAGCTTCATTGAACATCATTGCTGTCTCCTGTAATAATTGGGAGTGTTTTCTCTCCAATGCAGAGGCAGAAAAAATTGCCCAGGTGGCTGAGATAACATATGGGCAGAAGGTGATGGAAAAAGAAACAGAGAAGCGAATATCTGAGATTGAAGGTAAGCAGCAGCTTTTTAGAAGTGTTCGTCCTCTCAGGATTTCAGCACACCAATATTGTTCTCTGCAGATGACCAGGAAAGAGATGAATCCAGTTTGCAGAGAGAGCGGGGAAATTCTAAAAAATATCAGTGGTGATGGTAGTGGAGATTATCTTGTTTTGGGTGAATCATGTAGTGTCTGGTGAAAATCTGGAGAAGCAGCATCTTGTGACTTGCTTCTGTTTAACCACGTTCTTCCGTCTTCAGCCTCAGGAGCCTCTCCCCATTTCACTAACTTTGGAAGAATCTTTTCCTTGCTTGTTCCAGTTTTCCTTAAATCCTCAAACAATTAATAAGGAGGTAAATCACAGAATCATGGAGTTGGAAGGACAATATTTAGGCTGCTAAGTTCAAACCCTGGCTTAGTGCAGAAATCCAAATTAAAGCATTTGTTACAGGTGGCAATTCAGCTTTGCTTGAAAACCTCCAGCAGCTTTCCAACAATTTCTCTCAGCCCCACAAGCAGTAAGCATTAAGGAAAATTCAGATACCTCTGAGCCTACCTCCTTGCACACAGGTTTTGAAATTGGGTTCAGATTACATTAGATTAGCCTCTGTATCACCAGTTGTCCAGGATGTTTCTACAACTGGCACTGGCTCTTAAGGGTTTTACGTTTTTCTCAGCATCACAAGCTGGGATTGAACCTGGGCACTTTGCCTGCAAAGCATGTGCTGTGCCACTGACCCAAAGCCCTCAAACTGCTCTTGTAAGAGTGAGAGGCTGACATGAGGATTTCCCCTCTTTGTTGATCCTGTTTCGGAGCAAGCTTCCGGAGCAGGGGAAAGGTTTTCCTCTGGCTTGCCTCTGAGCAGCAGTTCGCTAGGCTAAGTTCATTAAGGGCCTTCTCAAGCGATGCGGCGCCTCCCCAAGGAGCCAATTAGCGGTTTACAGATCAGCAGCTTCTCATTAGGCGGGCCCCAGCAGAGCCTTGTAGTTCGCTTCCTCATTTAGACGCGTTCCCAAGTGCCAAGCCCTTGAAGCGGTCCAGCTGTATCCTAAGCACTGAAAGGAGAGGAGGCAGGATGTCCAGCTGTATCCTAAGCAGCAGACTTTGGGCTTTGTCCAGACTCCTGTAGCTGCTCTGGCAATTGAGTGCAATACTGTATACCCTTTGAATTTCACACACTTTTGGCCATTGGGATTGGTGCAGTGGACAGAAGTGGACATGTTAATGGATGGAAGTGTGTTAAAACAACATGAGCATGGACTGCAGGGGAAATGGGCAGAGTTCCATCGCCCCACACGGACCCCCCAATTCTGTTTAAAAGCAATCTTCAGCGGTTACTTTATGAATTGGCTTTCTGGACCTGGAAATCCTTTCTTTTAAAATGGTTTTGCAAACTATCAAAGCACTGTAGCACTTTTATGCATTTATCTCCCTGGGGTGGGGAGTAGAATGTTATGCAACAGATTCTGCTTGCGCTGAACAAAACCATTTCAGTGGAGGTGGGAAGTGGAGGATGTCACAGACTAGAAGTGTAGGCAGAGTAGTAATTCTTTGTAGTTCTGCATCAGTACTTCCTTTCAGGGAATTGAATCTGCATCTCCCAGATCTAATTCCAACCCTCTACACCCCACTGACTCTTGGGGGGAAGCTGTCTCAGGAACTAGAAGAGTCTAAATTATATCTGTTCCCCTTGATTCTGAAAAGCAACTGATTTACCTGTGTGTGTCCCAGTGAAAAGTTTGAGTTTTTAACTGGAGCATAATTGCCCTGGTCAGATTCTTTTTGTGTCACTGATCATAAGCTGAATGGAAGAAGCCTTCTATAGAACTGAAACGAGATAAAAATAAATGGATGAGATACAAAGACTTATTAGAAAAAGAACAAGGAGAATATAAAATTAAATCAAGGGAGCAATTGGTTTTAGAAGGATATACCTTTCAATGGCCTTCTTATATGCAATATAAAGAAAAATTTAAAATTTAAAATTGATAAAAAAGAATTTGGATTTGAACAGAATAAATCGGAATTTGAAATTCAATTATGTGAAACAGATGAACATTTAAAATTGATAAAAAAGAATTTGGATTTGAACAGAATAAATCGGAATTTGAAATTCAATTATGTGAAACAGATGAACATTGTTAAAACTGATGGAAATGGCAGAAAATGATAAACTGACTTGCTTATTAAAAGAAAACTCAAATAACTATTACCTTAAAGAACAGAAACCACTGATGGACTCTTTGCAAAATGCAGATGGGGTGAAGCTTACATGAGGATTTGAAGATTAGATTATAAATGTAATGGGATATGTTTTG